AAATAAACATATTACCTACCTCAAAGAAAACAACGCGTCTCAATTACAAAAACAGTTCGTTCTAGGAAATAATAGTTATTTACGTCAAAATTCACCCCGATTTAGTACCGAGGTTAAGAATGAGTAGGAACTATACTTTCTCTCCCCCTTAGCGTCTACATGGCGTGTAGCGTGATAGTTTTTAAGCATCAATATAATCTTTGGTCTGTCTATAGTGTTTCAGGAAATTAACAAGTGCTCAGTAATTGTTTATATTTCACGCATTTGCAATCTTGAAGCCCTTGACCTTGTAAGGATTTGAAAATACGGACGAGGCATTCCCGCAGAACACGTCAGAGGTTGCTGTCACCTTTGAATCCAGATCCTCAGATGGTAAACAAGCGATTCCCAACTGCAATGTTCCCGTGTGTAAAGCCTCCTCGTCGTAACACGGGTTTTAAAAGCCCCGTCTCTGCTCTCGTCCATCAAAGCTGTTTGCTTTTAATTAACTCGCTGCATGGCGTCCTCCCATTCGAGTCATCATCCACTTGTCTTCTGCAGAGTAACTAATCCCTAGCTGCAAAACGCGTCCTACGCAACATTTTCTACTCCTTTTGATTTTTTTCGGTGTTGCATAATCGCCATTTTATCTCCTTTTTTGTATTCATCAGTGGACATTTTTTTTCAAATTCATATGGCAAGTTTATCCTTTTAATTTATCCATGCCCTCTGTGACGTTCACGAAATTCTCAACCAGTAGACCTTTTTGGTCTTCTTAGGGATGCTGTCATAGCTCTTGTTTCACAATTTCTCCTATAGTGTTGTATAAAATGTGTTGTTGGCTAGGGTTGTCCATGGTGGGAAGTTTGTAACAGAAGTGCGTATCATGTAACACGCGTAATGTAATATATGTGTGGTTTGAGACCAGCCATTGGAATTAATGTTGACGGTGTTGTGGGAAGTCCATCATGCCCATTGAAGGCAGATTACAAAATAGTTGTTAATACGAAGTAACGTCATGTATAGTCGGCGCAGTAGTTTTTGGCCGGTGGAATTTTCAAGGGGAAGGCTAGGAGCGAGTCTCTCGTGCTGACTGCGCCGAGGAGCGAGTCTCAGTCTGAACGCCCAAACAAATGAAATGCACTGACCGTGCCACCTCAGGTACACAGACTAGGCCCGTCCGCCAGCTCCGCTAGCTTCTCCACCGACCAGAAACTACTGCGCTGACTATAGCAGTTTCCCTATTACGGAACCCGAAGGTCTATTGCTATGTTTACAAATACAGCCTCTGGATGATATCCCATGCATTCAAGATACCTTTTAGTGTTTTCCATCTACATCTGGGTCTCCCAAGTCGTCTTTCCCCTGCAGGTTTTTTTCCGGTCAGAATACGGTAAGATGTCCCCATCTGTCGTGTCACGCCCATCTCACCGTAGTTGATGATCCCTGTATTTGTATTTTGTGGAGAAGAAATTATAATATTGGCATTTTTCTCTCTCTGGGCTCCTGTTACTCCCTCTTAGGTCTCTTCTCCTCAGCACCCTGTTCTCTAAAAAAAACCCTCCCCCAATCTATATTTCACTGTAAATGCCTGAGTGAAGTTTTACAACCATACAAAACAACAGATACTTTTATAATCTTATTTATTCTGTACAGTTTTTGAATTGCTTTCTGTTTTAAGTCCTTGAAGAATTAATGACGACTCACTGCATGGGAATTAACTTTCAGTTACGGAAACAAAATATTTGTTGTTGCCATTTATTAAAACCTTTAAGGGCACAGGGAAAATGTTAAATTTCATCTTCTGAAAATGGGCGGTAATGATGTTAATTAGACTGAACTGGCTGGGGACCATATCTAGCAGCTGGGTTTGGTGCAGGCGTCATCGAAATCTTCGTGTTATTTTACCAGAGTCAGAATCAACCCCCCCCCCCCCCCCCCCC